GTATGTATGTATGTATGTATGTATGTATGTATGTATGTATGTATGTATGTATGTATGTATGCATGTATGTATGTATGCATGTATGCATGCATGTATGTATGTATGTATGTATGTATGCATGCATGTATGTATGTATGTATGTATGTAAAAAAAATCATTTATTTATCATACTAGGCTCATGAGCTCATGAACCGAGCTTCACTGGGCTCGAGCTCAACTCAATTAGCAAACGAGCCTATATATTAGGCTCAAGCTCGACTTAAAGCTTAGTTTAAACGAGTTGAGCTCAAATAACTTGTGAAAAGCTTGGCTCGTGGCCACCCCTAATTGGTATGTTGAAATTGAGAATTGGACAAACAACAAACTTTGAAACAAAGAAGAAAAAGAACTCGAAAAAGATGGAATTGTCTATACGGGCTTTTAAATTATAACCGATCGTATATTAGATCCTAGTGGTGGGCTTGTTCGGGTGTCTTGTCATTTATTGTTTGAGTAATGAGTAATTACAATAGGCCCTAGGGTTGAGAGTCGTATGTTGTATTGTCGAATTGAATTGATACTTGATAGTTGATACGATATATTTATTATTTATAATAAACATTAAAACTAATAATAAAAATAATAATTCAAGTTTTATCATATCAAATGCATCTCCATCCAAATTTAATCTACTTTTTAATTGGATTTTATTCATTCCATTTGAATCTGATCCGATAATGCATATAATTCATCCAACTCCTAGATAATTAAATCAAATGTTGGATTGGGCCATGGAGTTTCAAGTATCATTGATAGGCCTACTGTGCCTAACTTGAATTGTGTTTGGTTAAGTTTAAATTGAGCTTGGGTACTTGGGTTTGACCTTAAGTTGGGCTAGACTTGAACTTGAGATTTGCACCTTTAGGGTTGGGACTAGATACCTTTAAGGCTTCAACCAAACCATTATGGCCTGAATTTCATATAAGATTTTCATGTGCATCGCACTAGGCCTTGCTAATATCATCCAATTTTTCAGGTTTTGATATTCAAATCCGAGTAATCAAATCGRATGTTGGATCATGTATCAAATCTTTAGAGTCCTTAGACAACCCTATTTTGGAGAGTTACAATAGCTAAGGCAGCGTTCGATAATGTGGTGGATACTCATTCCAGCCCGTTATAGAAAGGAAAACATAGTATGGTGTTCGTTGAATCTCATGGCACATCTCAAAATGAGTTGTGGTTGGTTTTGGAACACAAAATATTGTGTCATTCTAGACACGAATTTCTTGTGTTTTGGAACGAGCCACACCTATTCTCAATATTTTGTTATCCCATGCGTCTCAAATCCCCTATTCCAAGGCTTCCATCAGTTCACCATTGGTCCTTTACTGTCATTCTCTCTCTCTCTCTCTCTTATAGATTTATGACTTTATTATGTTTAGTTAATTATTAAATGATCCTATATACTTATATATTTTCCTATTGTGTTTAAATCCTAATTGACTCATATTGGATTTGGATGCAAGTTTTTAATAATCTAATCATATTTAGGTTTTGTTGAATTTGATCCATTTATAGCCCTAGTTTGAACCATCACCTAACCATGATTCTAGGTTCAGTTCTACTAAAACCGTTTTATTTTGGGTAACTTTTCGAGATCTACATGTCCCAAGGAACCTTTCCCTACTAATTTGTGAACAAAAATTTGCCTCAAATTGCAATCTTAATATTTTATTTACAAATAAAAATTAAAAACTAAATAAAAATATAAGTTAAATATAAAATAATACATATATTACATATAGAATATAATTATACATTATTTATTGATAAATTGTGTGTTTATACATACATATGTGTGTGTGACATGGTCGTAATAGTTTGACTTGGATGGTCAAATTGGTGATCTGTGACCCAAAAGGCAAAAAATGGCTTGCCCTACTATTCAATTTTTAAAACATTGATTTTATGATGCTTTATTTGTATAAATTAATTTTAAAGTTTCTTTTGATTAATTGTAAAATGTGAATCATATAAAATACATGTTGGAAATATGTGTTGATGCATGATCAATAGTGTTGGTATCAATTTCTGTTATATATGTATCACATATTAACATGTTCTATTAAGAAAACACTATAATGTAGAACATATCATTTGTTGTATCTCATCCCAAAACACACCCCACTACAACCTACAGATCATGAAACACACCATGCTATTGTGCTATGTTATGAGATGAGCCACACCTTTTCCAACCACAAAACATAACAAGCCCTAAATGTCACATTTCCTCCGCTCATCCCATCAAGGTTCCCATCAGGCCTTGCTAGTCAACTAGTAAATGATGTGCACGTACTTTGCACGTGGTAATTTCAAATAACAATAACAACAACAATTGTGTATATATTGGTGATTTAGTGCCTTTCAACTTAAGGACTTGTATCAAATTTTCTTATTCTATATTATTGTATCCCATTTCCACCATTTAACAAACATAATAGTGGTTTCATTGCTAAGGTAGTTTTAAATTCTGTATTCCACTTATATTATTCATAAACTAAAACTTCTTTTATTTATTGTACCTAAAACAAGCTTTGTTTCCCAAGTCGATTTTGAATACATAAGTTTTATACTATTAAAATTGTTATTTGTGAATTTAATTAGTGAAATTTTATGATGAGAAACAAAATACATTAAACATATGATTCAATGAGAGAGAATGGAAGTTGACCTTAAATACGAGACTTAATGAGAGAGAGAACAGAATGAAATGAAAAATAATATTCAAGTTACAATTAATATCTTCATGAGAAAAATGGAGGGGTATTTTAAGTCAATAAAACGTTCCAAAAAGATCTATTGCCACTTTTTGTAGAATCCAAATAATTTGTAATTCATCTACAAATCAACATGTAGCTTCAAGTGTTTAGAGTAGTTAAATTTGTCTAGCTAAATACTAGACATGTTGCGAGTTATAAAAAAAAATCAGACATGTTGTGTAGTTATTTAGGAAGCATAAAAGAATTCCATTTTTATCCTCTTATACAATTCAGCAAGAATTTAACAATGGAGGGCTCAACTTGTCATATTTTAATCTCATTTTAAACAATCAACAATATACTTGATTTGCCCTCAAATTCAAATATGAAAGCATTAACACAAAGGGGGAAATACTTTTTATAGATTTTACAGAAATTATGGGCTTTTTAGTGATTTTCCCAAAAATAAAAGTCATTAATTTGTAAAGACTTTTCTAACTTATCCTATAATTGCTTCCTTGCCTTCTCTTGGGCCATAAAAGAATTGACTTTGAATTTTATCAATCTTTCCGATGTTATGTTCATTTGAACATCATTTGGAATAGAGGAATTATATTTTCTTTTTTCCTTTTTTTACTCCATGGGGCTACACAACGGGGGTGGCCCATTCCCCAAACCCATAACCTCTAATCTAGGTGCAAGTGGGATTTGATTCCAAGTCTCTTTGATATAACCACCAAGAGACCTTACCGATTGGTCAGTTGGCACATTTTAAATAGAAGAACCACATTCAAAACTTATTTAATAATGACTACTCTTTCATCTTTAAAAAGAGTTTTCAATTTACAACCCTAATTTTTTTTATTAATTTTAGTTGTTATGTTATTCAAAGCATTCTTATCAATTATGCCTTGAATAATTGAGATACTCAAGTATTTTTCTTTGTTTGTTGATATTGGGATGCTCATAATCTTAGAAATCAACTTTTAAACCCTATTTGACAATTTTTTTTTAGAAAAAAATTGACTCTTTGAAATGGATATTTCGGATGAGACCCTCTCAAATATCTTGAGATTGGGCAAAAACTACTTATAAACAAACGGAAAAACTATAATCAAAATTGTGGAGCCACACTCAAAATCCACATTTTAAAATCATTATATAGTGAAAATTGAACCTACTTTTAAAGATAACCAAATAGCAATGATTTTGTTCAATATTAATTAAAAGAGAGAAATACATCTAATTGAACACTCTATGAACTTTCAGTTATAATTCATTATTAATTAAAAGAGAGATAAATACATCCAACTAAATACCCAATGAAATTTCAGTTACAATTCATTTAAAACAATTAACAAAATATCAAATTTGTCCTCAAATTCAAATCTAAAAGCATTAACACTAAAGGGCAAAATTTTGCCCAATTAAAATTCCAAATTTTTTTACTTAAAGTAGTATAGATACAATGTTGTTAGACTTACAACGAACAAAGAGCCATTTTGGTGATTGGATCATAAGTCGAACAATTTGTGACAACACCCTTGGCCTCCGTATCCATTTTCAACTTTTCTAACTCAGAATTGATAGGCAAGTTAGATGTGGCTATGAAAGTAAGCAACCCAAACAAAATAGTGGGTTTGGCGTATTCATTTGTAAGCAAAATCCATGTTATACATGGAGAACATTCTGTTTCTTCAGCGTTGCACTGTTCTTTTACTTCGAGAAGAGGAATCACACGGTTGTGAATGTGAGTTGGTGGTCTTATAGCACATGGAAGTCTTCTATGATTCTAGTTATAGAAGAAGAACCAAAACCAAATGGTGGTGAATATGAAGCTGCCGATGAACCTGCAATGCATTGAATGCTTATTGGCCGAGGAAAAGACCATGAAGCCGTGGGAGATGAGTTTCAGTTTGATGATAAATCCTAATTATCCCTTAAAGGCTTTCTAGAGGCCCACTGCAAGAACTATTAACAAAAGAAATGGGGTGGTGATCTCAATGCTATTACATGAAGGGCTACCATGGCTGTGCCAACTCAGTTAAATGTTAAAACTCATCACGACTTTTCAGCATTTCTCTTAAACTAACCATAACTTTTCAAAACTTCTAAGGAGCCCCATATCATTAATTTGACATTAAACAAACTAGTCAGTGTTAGTATATTACCATTTTACCCTTTGTTATATTTGACCCATTTTTTAATATTTCAGAAATACCATTGTTAACCCATTTTTCAGCTTTCTTGGAGTACTTTCAAACAGCACAATTAGAGCAAAAGGTCTCTCAACAAGTAGAAACTTATCTTATATATAAGGCAATTGGGTGCTTAAGGGCATTTTAGTCATACAAATATGTTTAATAAGGCTGACTTGCCATTTAGGGGCAATTTGGTCATAAAAATTGCATTTAGCTAACATGGGCAACTTCTGTCAATATATTAATGGTGCTCTAGCAAATGGTGAATCTTGGAAAATAAAACTCACTGACATGGGGTTCCTTGGATGATTTGAAAAGTTATGGAGAGTACAAGAGAAATGCAAAAAAGTCATGATGAATTTTAGACAATTTTCCTAAAATTTGTATTTTATATACATAACCCAAAGGCGAATAAGAGGGGAAGAGGAAGAGAAAGAGGTTGATTTTTTTTTTTTTTTTTTCTCGATAAGCAAAATAGGAAAAGAAAAAAGTTCATAGCACCAAACTTTATAGCCAACAGATATAACTACTTGCGTGTTTATCTCTTTCGACTGCTCGGCTTGGAAGATGCAACACTTTTGGAAGTGCCAGCAAGATTTTTCGACTGATCTTCATCACTCTTGTCAGCATCACTTTCTTCGTCATAGCTCTCAGTTTTGTCGGTGGACCCATCCTCTTCTTGTGGCGATTTACTGGTATTCTCCTGCTTTGAAAGCCGATCTCGAAGCTCTCTCAGTTTTGCTTTTTTTGAATTCAATACTGAAACAAACTAGAATTGGGAACAAAAGAAGATATCAACCAGTTTTCTTAATTAAGAGAAAAAAGGATATAGGAGAAAATTGGGCTGAGAGGAAAATGAAAGATGGTTGAATTATAGTGGTCCAATCTTGCACTCTTCATTTTGATATGCACTTGTTTGGCATGGGGTGCATATAGATAATTGAATTATTAGACAAGGTCTAGAATTTGGACTTACATATTGTGTTGACATCTCGAGTTCATCAGGACAGCCAATCAGTAAGGCTTTGAACATTTGCCCAAGTACAACTGTTAACTTAATCTAATAATATACCAATGGGAAGACATATTCAAGGGGTCATTTCAGTGCAATGAAAAGGCAGAATATTGAAAGGTATATTTTGTTTTTTATCAGCTTTTATTTTTGTATTTATCTAATTGGATGAACATCATAAAATGTGAGGAAGACAGGTTCACAGAGTCATCCATTTCAGTACCAGCTTTCCAGAAAGTGTGTGTGAGAATATGTATACCTATATACGACATTATGACCTCCAAGGCCTGTCAATTCCCTAGCTGTCTCTTGTTAAAGGGGAGATTCATTTGATTCTCTATTATGGAATTCTGTCTAAAGTATGCCTTTTTTTAGTTAAGTAGGTTTGACCATAAATTCCCTTGTACACTTTCCCTTTTGCTCTCTAAGAGATCATTCTATTGTTATTGATTAGAAACAAAATGTAAAAGAAGAAATCTTAGGGCATTTCATTGTTCAGAACCTACCTTTGCATAGACTGCAGATTCAAACTCTTCCTTCTCAATGCTGAACTTCTCACTTTGTGCTAAGCACTTTTCAGCTTCCACTTTCAATCTCTCAAATAACTGGGTCTTTCTAACAACTTCTTCCTATCAGTATTAGCCAAATAAATATGTTATATACAACTCCAGTTGGTGTAGTTAACTAAATATGTACAACTCAAAGGTAAAAATCCATGGAGTAAATCTCTGAAAAGCAAGCAAAGTAAAGCTTCGATTATGTAGTTGTCAATAGAACAAACATAAAATAATTAAGATAGTGCAAATCAACCTAGGACCATTGCTTGGTGCAATGGTAAAATCTCAGCCTGACAAGTGTGAGAAGTGAGTTTGAGTCTGGGAGCAGCCACTTGGTGCAAAATATGCCAAAAATTAGTTCCATATCCAGTCCACCCCTCCCAAGATCCCACGTTGCAGGACCATCATTGAGTAATGGCCATATGACTCAACAAAACAAAAAATATCACAGGTTTACAGCCACGGTCACATGATGCTCCAAGGAACCATAAGTACAGGTGAAAAAAGACCTCAGCCTATAATGGGACCCGAGGGGTCATATCGGGTTTGGTGCCCTTGGAATGGCCATAAGATCAACAATACTCCATAGAGCAAAATTTTGAACAATTAGGAAATAACATGTCCACAAAATGAGTACAACAACTTAACCTTTGACAGTTGGGTATTGATCCAGGGATTGCCATATCATCTCTAGACCGAGGAGGTGTTTGGTCTGATAGGGAATCTCTATGGAGGTCTTGAAGAAGTTTGCAGTAGCGTTATGCTAGAATCAAGGTGTGGTGCTGAGGGGTGCATTTAGTTCCTTGTTCAATCCCTATTCACAAAAGAAATGTCTGGTTCTTTCTGTTTGTGGGGGTGGAGAAGACAAATGAGCTACTTGATCAACCAGATCAGCTAACTTGTTCTATGGTTCGAAGACACATGCAGGGGCAGGAAGGAGATGCATCATTCCTCTTCGGGTAAGTTCCATGAGGCACAAGAAAAAGAAGCGACTTATTCTTTTCCTTCAAGAAAAAGTAATAGAAAGAGGGCCGACTAACTTGGTAAGAGCAGTAAAAGAGTCAGGAAGGTGAAGGAACACCATGTGGAGAAAGGTAACCCCGTTCAAATTTCAAACACTGACATTAGAAACAAGCCACCCTGTGATAAAGATGATAGACATTATTATTTCTCCATTTATTATTTTATTGTTATAATTTCAAAAAGTTAAAATACTAGTTTCTATTTATCATTACTAAAATCATGATTTCTCCATGTCCACACCGTGATAAACATATGGGATCGACAAAATGCATAGTGCATACCTGATTATCCACCCCCTCCCCCAGAGGGGCAATATTAACCACCTCATAGTGACTGAAGAAAATGGCATCTCTTATTAGGTTTTCTGACATGATTTCATTTAAGAGATTTTCTGCTTGAAGCAAATGCCAAATAAGATCTATCTGCAATTACGATGCAGAAATGGGTCCAAGTAAAACATTGGATATGCCAAAAATCAGCTATTATATGAATTTTGAACATTTGATTTATGCATTATTTACAGATCTACCTTTTAACATAGTAAAGATCTTCCCATTTGCAGATAAATGCAGTAAAATGAGAGGTTCATAACCTCTTTTTTCAAGGAGTTTGGAGTAATACAAATAACAACTAGAAACTTCCTATTTTGATAATAGTTGTGGGAGCATATCTAGATCAGTCAAACACAATCATAAAAAAAAGGTAAGATAAAAGATGAATACAGTAACCGATGGAATCATCAAAAGCTAAAAATTTTCATCCAAATCAACCAAACCAGAATATGCAATCTTACGCTTAACCGTATGTTTGCATCCATAAGAAAATCCAATGTTCCAATTGTAGTCTTCTTATCATCAGGCGATGGTTGACATTTCCATCTCCATTCTAATTTTGTTCCTTGCTTCTCAAATGTCCATGACAACTGCAAAACATTATATCAAATAATAGATAAATTAGCCTCTTATATAAACAACCAAGTTATCATGCAACTAAGTCATGCCAATAGGTCACTAACTGATGAAGTGAACTAGTTGGTAAGGTAATTGTATTTTCCCTAATCTGAGAGCTTATTTTCTTTTATACATAAATACTTATATCAAGATTTTTCTAACAAGATCAACTAATGTTGATGTACCAGATAAATAAAGCATTTGATCATCAAAAAAAAAAACCATTAAATAAGACCAAATTTTGGTGGATATTCAAGGGGGTAATTTTTTTCTCCCTCACCTTAATCATGACATTTGGAATTTCAGCCTAAATCACCCTAGACTCTAACCAAGAGATTAAACTCTCAGGTTCAGTTTGGAAAGAAGACAAATAAAAATATGTACGGTGCAAATACATGCAAAATAAAACAAAAACAAGGTTTTGCACTCTACATATTTGTATTCTTTTCAAACCGAGCCTTAGTTTCAAATAAATCAGGGTTTTTGTCCCTAGCAGTCCTTTTTTTTATTGGTAACTTGAACTTAACTGATTTATCATAAAAAACCTTAAACTTTATTAACTGTGATAAAGAGAATAATATGTACAATGATCTTAGTTGGTGTTTTTATAGGCTAGCATATGCCACCTATGCCCAAGTTTACTTTCAGTGCAACTAGATCACCCCCATAAAAAGCTCTTCTCTATTAACCCTCTGCTTAGTCAGTGAATCAGCTATGCTGTTTACAGACTGATGTACCCATAGAACCATTTCCCTTGTTAGGCACTTGATTTCTCTTAAAACATGCGGGTAATGCCATGTTCCTTGCCTGTCATTTCTCAGCCAGCTTATTACTACCTTAGAATCCCCTTTGGTTATCAAGTTGCTCAAGTTCAAATTTTTGCCCAGCCTAGCAGTCCTTAGTAATAGCCATCAGACCTTTTACTCTCCCTACTTTTCCCTTCAAATTTGCACCCAGGTAGATCATGCAAGTCCAATTATATAGTGGCATTTATGTTAGCAATGAAACTTAAGGTTTGTCCTCCAACCTTTAATATGGTTCAATGCTGTTGGACTTGGACCAGACTGGACAGTCAAACTGTCAGCGTAGGGAACTGACAGCCAGAATGATTTTTTGGCTGCCAGTTCTCAAAAATGTTGATTCGGTCAAACTTAGCACAAACACATGTATAAAATAAATGTCTGTCATATAATCATACTTATTGTTAATTTTGACATAAAGCAGCTTTAAAAGACATTCTGGAATTGTTTTATTTATTTATTTATTTTTTTGAAATTTTATTTAAATGGGTCACATGGTTGGCTGGATGATCAGACTGTTTGACCTGTGACTCTGTGACCCCGTCACTAAAACGGTTGTCTGGTCCAGTTCTGACAACATCGATGCAAAGCCCTCTCAATATATAGTAGTCTTGTGTGCCACAATTAGCAATGGAGTAGGGTTGCAACTTGGGCTGGGTTAGCCTGAACAAAACCTGAAAAAGTCAGGTTGGATTGAGTTGGGTTGAAGTTTGGGTTAGGGTTGAAAAGTATGAATTTAACTTCAGGTTGGGTTAGAGCAGACGCATTGACCRACCCAATCCAACCTGATAACTATGCTATTTTACACATTAAAATGCTTAAATTAAATTAACCCGAATCCCCAAGTCTATGAAATGAGAACATTTTGCAAAAGGAAGTAGTGAAGTTGGGCTAACCCAAACCAACCCAAAGTTTTAGGGATAGGGTTGGGTTCAACAGCTCAGGTTGGGTTAGGGTTGACCTCAACCTGACCTAACCTGGCCCGACTTGCACCCCTACAAGGGAGTAACATAATTTTTCCCAAGTGCATAAGCTGTAGTGGGTTCACTTGAACTAATCCATGAACTCAGGCTTGTCTTGGGTTCATTTGGCTCTTCTTACTGAACATAATGTTTTGATATTAGGTTCACCAAATCCCAAATTTAGTAGCCATGCTCAAATGCCCGTAACTAATATACATTATAAAAAGAAAATAACAGAAATTATAATATCTATATTAGTTATACATCATTTATATTATACTAGTAAGTCAACCAAGGTTAAACCTAGCTGAACCCACCCATTAGCTTAGGCTCGTTTAGCCAAATGAGCTCATATTCAGGGAATTAGGCTCATGCTCAACTTATCCAAACCAAGCTGGCTTGGCTCATTCACAGTCCTAGTCTCGATACATTGGTCAAACTACTGACCTGGGACCAACCCCTTTACTATCCATGTCCAGTTCAATTATAGTAAAATGACATCAACTATATAAAAACCTGGGCCTGCGCACCACACCAAGACAATCCGACCAGATGGAACATGCAAGTATAAATAACCAATTAACGACATTCTCACTCTAATCACTGAACCACTTACTATTATTTTATTGTGACAGAGACAGATGACAAGGACAAAAATCTTTCATGGCTCTTTAAGATAAAAGAATGATCAAAACTGCAGGAGTGGTAAGAAAATTTGGAAGGAATCTATGAGATTATTTGACAACATGATGAACTTGATCATCTGACCGCTTAAGTGCTTATGCCATGGGTCCTATACCAGAAAAACAAAAGCTAATCCTTTATCCATAATAAATGGAAATTTTCTTCTAAGGTATAGATCCTCCGTAGTGATACTTAAGCCCTGCCTGAATTTTAAAAAAATATTCTAAAATTAATTTACCAAATTTAATTAAAAACAAACTGGGAAAGATACTAACAAATAGGCTGAGATGTGTTCTTGGGAAGAACATGTTGCCATCACAAATTGCTTTGACATAATCTGAAACTCCTCAACATGTCTTTAATTGCCACTGGAGAATCAGTTCAAGAAAGTGCTAAGGACAAAATCGGGTGAAATGTAAACTTGATTTGGAGAGGGCGTATAATCGCATGCAATAGGGTTTTGTTACCTACACATTAAGAAGGATGGGATGAAAGTGATCTTGACTTGGGTCCATCTAGTAAGGAATATATACAGAAGCCCATCAAGGGAAAGGGAACTACTTTCTTTACTGTGGCTGACTTTTTAGAAGAGAAAAGAGCAATATTGAACATTTGATTTACAGTCTCTGTATTGTCAATATAAAAAGGTTAGGCTGGATAGGATAGGGTGGGGAATGCAACCTTGACTATTTTATGTGTCCTTTATTTGTGGCAACTCCATACCAGCCCATCACTGATTGAAGGAAAACTTGAAAGAATCCTCCACTACCTCATTTTATTTCCTACCTTTTTTTTTCTTTCTATTTTATATACCATCATCCAATCATGTTCCATCACAAATATTTAAAACAACAGCACTGATATAACAGAATACAAACAAATCCTATATTATTTCAAATAATCAGAAATACAAACAAACAAATAAGACTTTAAAATAATTTTGTGGTTGACTGGTTGTTAATTAATTAGTTAGTTGTCCTATCTGGCCACATCACGATTCACGAGTATTGACCAACTAGTTAGTGATGCAGTCAGTCTGCCTCTGCCATTTAACTAAGTAGTTAGTTGATTAATCGATGACTAATTGACTAGTTGATACATTGATAATGCTAATCCCAGGATTGGGCTTATGAAAAAATGTTTATGATGGTAATGTTCTTTATGATCTTTAATAATGCAGCACAGGTGGAGCTCTACATGATACAATACAATACTTTATTTTCACTTCAGCTGACACTTGCAGCAGTCCATATAATCTTTTATCTTCTTTGTGTTCTCTCTAAAATCCATTTTTGTACCCTCAAGATGACTCTAATTGAACCCAAAGGGAACATTGCCAGTATCCATAGCATACTGATCAAGAAACATTTCTGTTATCCATGAATATTTTGATGCAACCTAGTCAAATAATCTGACCCCAAAAACTCGAGAACAGGCTTATGCGTCTCTCCTTGCTCATACATCATTTTATTTTTGTAATGCAAATAAGAGTAATGTGTTATGGGCCTGGGCGTAGGATCTCGTCACGGGTCGGTCCACGGGGAGAACCTTGAGTTTCCCCTTGCCCCTCCCTTTTCCTGCAGACCCTATCGTGGCGTCCTAAGGGGTGATTTGTCCAAGAGATCACCCTAACTCTCCTTTACTCTTCTCTTTGACTGAAATTCTGGATGCCTTTATTCAATAATAGTGGCTCCTTAAATAGGAGATTACAAGAGTCCTGCTCTTAGGGAGACTCCTTGCTGAATAGGGAGACCTC